TGGGTCTTCGAGGAATTGTCTGCAACTTGATGGCACTTTCCCCTCACCTGGATGGTCTCAAAAGCTAAGCAGGGTCAGACCTGGTTGGTCCTTGGATGGGAGACCACCAAAGAAATCCAGGGTTGTTACACAGAGGCTGCAGTCACACACACTCAATAATCCACTTTCAATCCACTTCCAGCACTTTTAAGCAAAACATGAACAGGTGTATCAATACTATTAAGGCCACAAGGGCAAATCCTGTTGGAATACGGCCTATTCAGAAATCTCCCCGTAGAACAGTGGTTCTCAACCTGTGGGCCGCGACCCCTTTGGGGGTCGAACGACCCTTTCACAGGGGTCGCCTAAGACCATTGGAAAACACAAATTTTCGATGGTCTTGGGAACCGAATCACATCCTGAATATCAGATATTTATATTACGATTCATAACAGTAGCAAAATTAAAGTTATGAAGTAGCAACGGAAATAATTTTATGGTTGGGGGTCACCACAACATGAAGAACTGTATTAAAGGGTCGCGGCATTGGGAAGGTTGAGAACCACAGGACTAGAGGTTTAGAGGAGGACCAGAGGTCGCAGTGGAGCCAGAGCTGTTTCTGCGGAGCAGCAGGTGCAGCCGGAGTGCTCCCCTCCAGATTTCCTCACACCCCACCAACCAACATTTTCAGGCTACGCCCCTGATTGTGGTCATCCTCTCTGTCAGTACTTATACAACCACTGTATAAATGCCCTTTATAGAGCTTTAAAAGTAAAAAGACTTTTTTTGTGCCCCTAGTGAACTTACAGTCTCAGCTTCAGCAGCCTGGGAAATTGGGAAGGGTGATCCACACAAGGGCAGAGTGGGAGGGACCCAAGAAGCCAGCAGTGAGTCAGAGGAACAAGCAAGAGGGACGGGAAAGTTCGAAGAACAGAGGGACCAATGGGGGGAAAGGGCAGAGAAGGCAAGGCGAGCAGCTACTGCAGGCAAGCAAAGATTTGTGTCCGCATGAAGACGGGAGTGCAATAGCAGCACAGTGACGTGAGGGTGGAAGTCATCATCATATACAGTCAATGAGGAAGGTGAACCATTTTGGCAGCGGCATTCTGGACAGTAGTGAAATAACTGGAGACTGGAAAGGAAAGGCAACAGAGAAGAAAGCCAAGGGAGGGAACGGCCAGAACACCAACTACTTCGTTGCTCAAAGGTGACTCAAATGCAAATAACTGGAGACTGGAAAGGAAAGGCAATAGAGAAGAAAGCCAAGGGAAGGAACGGCCAGAACACCAACTACTTCTTTGGTCAAAGGAGACTCAAGGGAAGGGCCCACGTTGCATGCAGAAAAGTACCTTGACTAGGAGACAGAACTAAAAAGGAGACGGGTGAATCAAAGATATTCATGGCTTCATGCTAGAGGAACAGGATGGAGTGCCATGTTGGCAGTGGGTAAGGAGAAGAATCTTCAGAATGCGGCTGGGCAAAAAGGCTGCAGCATCCCAGGCTGGGATTGGGGTGGTGGTGTTTGCGTCTGTTTGCTCTATAAAGCACGGTGCACAGGTGGTGATATTAACAATCCCTGACTATAATCTGAATAATTTTAATGAGGATCACACCACACTGCACCTGGGTTTGGTGTGAACTGAAACACCTGCAGGTTCCCACCCCCCCATCTGCTCTTGGCCTCCAAGTGTGGAGAAGTTGGGAGAATGAGAAAGGCTCCTTCCCAATTAATACTGAGCATTTAAGCTGCCATTTCAATTGCTCAGAGCACTTCTCTCAAGCCTGACAGGGTTATTGTGGGGATAAACTGGGGAAGGGCAAGCGGAAGAGGCCATTCTAATGTCCCTGCAGGAAAGGTGAGCTAAAAATTGTACTGAATAAAGACGATTCACTAGTCCATACAACAGCCCAGGAAAGTAGGCCAACATCATCACCTCTGTGGTGAGGGGGTGGGGGAGCTAACTTGCCAAAGGCCACCGACTACTAAATTCATGGACTGAGGAAAGGTCTGAGCCAGGGACGTTCCTGCTTATCTTTCTTCGCCTAGCTGCTAGATTGTGCCAGCTCTCACATCGAACCACCAAGAAGCTTAAGCAACACTTACCTCTTTCAAGCGATTCAATCGTCATCCTCCGCAAGACTGCAAAAGAGCAGAACACAGCATCAAAGTAAGGCCTCCTAACACAGAGAGACGCACCAGAAGCCAGCCAGTTCGTTCACAGGTTATTGGCTTTTCTGACTCTTTGTTGAACGCGGCTTCCACTTCACCAGGTGTTTCAATGCACCCTGAGAAATGTAGTCCTCAGTGTGCCAGACACTCCCAGAACTTTATTTCCCAGAGCGCACTGAGGTGGTGTGACACCTCGGATATTGCTTATCAGTGTCCAGTACATGCCACGTGTGGGACAAAGAGGAAAGATGCCTCTCTCTCCTCCAATCCTCCTTGAAAAAGCTCCAGGAAACTGAATGAAATCCATATCATTCACAATTTTCTCACTGTTGTCTACCTTCAGTCAACCTGTTTCTAAACTACAAAGAACAAACACATTGGCATTCACTTCCTCCCTGTTCAATGTCATTACCAAAACAAAAGGAAGGGTCTTTTCCAGTTCTTTCCCCATTCATTTCTGACTATAAAAATGCCTAAACATGAAAATCTGCTTTCTGCATTTTAGGGTCATTTAACAAGATATGTTCAAAGGACCACCTTGTCCAACCATCACTTTTCAATAACCCCCCGGCAGTTGCCTCTAGACACAGAAATGATGTTCTTCCTATGTTGTTCTTTTCCCTCAGCACCTGTAATTCAGAGGTATACTGCTTCTGTCCATGGAGGTTCCATTTCATCCTTATGGCAAATAGCAGCAGATTGACTCATAGTTGTTCTCTATGAAATTGCCTAAACTTTTTTAAAAAGCCATCTAAGCAAGGGACCATCAACATATCTTGTGCAGTGAAGTCCATAAATTCTGCATTGTATGCAGAATTCCCTTTTGGTCCACCCTGGTCCTACAGTCAATAAATTTCACGGCGTGACGCCAAGCACCAGTGTTAAGAGTGTGGAAGACAAAGCTCCCACGTTCCACACTGTCCGTAATTTTGCAAACCATGTTCAGAGCTCCCTTTTGTTTCTACACTAAATCCTCCAGGGCCTCCAGAGCTTCCTCATAGGGCAGGCTCTCCAAATCCTATCTCAGGTCTCCTGTTAACATGCCATAAATATTGACTGGTGAGGCATCCCCACCCACACCCCGATCATGCCAGAGACAGACCGCAGCCTACCTAGGAGCCCTCCTGGGGTAATCAGAACAGAGCACTCAAGAAGCAACACTTCATTTGGTATTATGAATGAATCTTCTGGTCAGCAGCTGCATCCAAGTAAAAATATTAAGCTGTCCCCAGCCCTGCACCCTTCTTCCCCACTGGGACCTGAGTTTTCAGTTCCCGCACCAAATCCGGGCCTCATCGTGTTGAGTCCCCCCAGCATGAGTTGGGCTCTGGTGAGTGGCACTTTGTCAACCATGCCTCTCCAGAAGACCTAATGCCAGCTTCCCACTGCCTTCGCCATTGCACGAAGAATTTGCTTATTAACCAGCCCTCTGTCACTATGTCGACCCCGGTCTTTATTACTTCCTTCAATTCTCAGGAACCACATGCCTAAGGTAGCACTGGGGAGGGAGGGACCCTTCCTTCCACCAGCAAAAAAAGTTTCTATCCCCCTGGAATCTGCCATGCTATGTCAATGGATTTGTGGCACCATTAAGGGAACAGATCCAAAGAGAAGGCTGGCCCTCTCCACCAGGCAGCCCAGGAGAGCAAAGACGGCAAAATTCCGGTTGAGAAAGCTGAGCCTTTCCCTCGTTGCGGGCCCTTCCCCTTGATGCTGGTATTGCTCTCAAACAAAAGGGACATCCCTGCATATATTTTTTTATTTATTCAATTGGTATACTGCCCTCCCCTACAGATAGGGCCCAAGAAGGTGAACAACATTTCAGTAAATTACGATCAGAATCGATAAACAGTTAAAATTATTAAAGAAACACCACCACCAATAGCTACTTCAAGATGGCACTTAAAGACCAATTCCTATCCTTACCCCATAAGGGATATATGGTGGGATTGCCCTGGGTGTGAGAAAATTCTGGCAAGACATATGCCAAATAGACACCAAAACTGTAGGTTGTCAAGTACCATGCTGTTCAACACTGATATTGCTGGGACAGATGGAGAAAAAGATTGAAACAAATATGGCTATTTGTTGGGGATCAAATAGTGGCTGTAAGAATATTTACAGTGAAATATCAGATGCAAAAGAAAGTAACCCGTAGAGAGGTTTGCGTAAAGGAGTGTTGGTTTAATTATGCTTATAGATGAAATTTCAGTGTATGTCTAACAGAAAAAAGATGCCTACGCGAGCTGAGTTTACTGAGAGATGACCTTTGATTGTTTATTAAAACAAGATTAAACTGAGTTAAAATGTAAAGGTCGAGATATTGTCAAACGCTTTGGGTGTTGTTGTGATAGGCGCAATGTATAATTTTTAATGTGTATTGTTTTCAATTTATCTGTCTATCTATCTATCTTCTTTTAGGTAATAAAAATAAATAATAAAAATTGCTTGAGTTGGGTTCTTCCTGTGGCTGGAAAACAACATACTGAGGCTTTCTTCTGCAGAAGCCCAATGAAAATTATTTCTGTGGGGTCTTTGCTGGAGAACTTCCCAGCAGATTAAACACCACATCCACTGGCTGGATTGTACTTGGATGCCATTTGTGTTCAGGCCCCAGATTATCTCAGGCCAATCCTGTCTCCTTGTTCGGGGTTTCTTGCAATTCCTCTACCGTGCAATTCTTTGCTGCAATCTCCAACAACCCTGCCTCCCTTTGTCATTGCAGAACCGGGGCTTGGGCAAGTCAAAACATGCTAGAGATGTTTGCGAACTCACCTGACCTTTGGAGGAGGTTTTGCATTTTGTTTCTTTTCAGAGTTTGGGGTTTCCTGTGATCTTTTGTTTCCCCATCTGTGGCTCCCTACAATTGCCACCTGACAGGAAGTGGTGGCGGCTACAAGCATGGACGGCTTCAAAAGGGAATTAGATAAGCATATGGAGCAGAGGTCCATCAGTGGCTATTAGCCACAAGGTATAGATAGGGCCTCCTGATGGCACCTGGTATTTCTGGCCACTGTGTGACTCAAGAGTGTTGGACTGGATGGGCCTTTGGCCTGATCCAACATTGGCGTCTCTTATGTTCTTATGACTCTCAGTTCCCAAACTACACCCTTGCGTCCCCCTCATGACCACTCTGATGCTTTGTGCCCATTCTCAAGGCCCATATTTCCTAACCAGTCCCCGTCCAGCTTGCATGCCCACTTTGGCTTCTCCACATTCTCAGAACTTTTATACCCATTCCTGAAAGGTGGTGGGAAGTGCCATCAAGTCACAGCCGATTTATGGCAACTCCCGGAGGGTTTCTGAGGCAAGAGATGAATAGCCACTGCCTGCCTCTGCACAGTGACCCTGGATTCCCTGGGTGGTCTCCCATCCAAGTACTAACAAGGCCCGACCCTGCTTAGCTTCCAAGAACCTGACACGATCGGGCCACCCAGGTCAGGGCATTCCTTAGGATCTTATTTTCAAATGAGTTCATTTTCAACCCTGCTGTTCCAAGGCAGACTGCAGACTCTTTCAGGCATGGGATGGTGCATTTGCTTATGTAACTCTTACACGGAGGCCACTTATTACCAGAAGCAGGGGGGGGGGGATGCTATATAATGGGGGGGGGGGAGATGCTATATTCATGGAAAAGAGACCGTTTACTACACTCACAAGAAGTATTATTGCTTATTTACTAAGTGCCAAAATGACGTTTTTTAAAAACTTCTTATGGAGGCCCCCCCTCCCCATCTGGATACTGCGTTTCCAAAATGGGTCTAACCAATTTGAGCCAGAAGGGGGAAATGTTATATAAATGGCTTTAATAAATAAATGGAGGGGCCTAATCAAAGGAGAACCACAGCAAGAGGATAATTACTCATCCTCTGAGCTTCACCTATAATCCTGATCTGGTATTTTTACATTATCCCCCCCCCCCACACACACAATTATTAAATACGACTTCCGTGCACATTAACAGTATTGCTCTGAATACCATATGGCAGGTGTAAAGCTACAGCTGGGAGTGACGAGCCCTTTCCCTCTTCGAAAAGTTCGGGGCGGGGCGGGGGACGCATCCAGCCGCCCGTTCTCGCACCTCCCACGCGGCCCTGGTCTGCCCCCTCTTTACTGCCCTTCGCCGTCCTCCCAAAGGCTCACACAAAAAGCGACTATTTCTTCCATATCCGACACACGGCCCTGAAAGGAGCAAGTCAAGGGACTAGCGTCTCGCTCCACTGGCTCAGGACGCGGGCTTCGCTGCGCCAAGCGCAACCCCCGACCCCCGCACGGCACACCGCCCCTAACAGTGGGAAGGCACTCTGTACGTGCTCGATGGTCCCTGCATCATCTCTAGGGGGGCCTAATTCACGTCCCCCCGCCGCCGCCTCCACCAATCACGTGGGCGTCGCTCCCCTTCGCGGACCCTCCCTCCCCAACCCTCCAGGAGGCGCCAAGAGCGCCGCGGCAGGGGCTGGCGTCGGGCCGGCCTTACCTCCACTTTGCCCCGCGCCAGTCCCTCTAGGCGGCTCCGATCGATTTCAACGCCCCGCACCGGCCCCGACAGGAGGAGCAAGAGCAGCAGCGGCAGCGGCGGCGGCGGAATCAGGAGCCCCAAGCGCAGCAGCCCCATCGCAGCGACTCCAGCCCGGCCGGGAAGGGCGCGCAACGAGCCCGTCCTCCCTTCTGCCGCCGCTTTCTTTCGAGCGCCGTTGCCACGTCAGATCGGGCGGGGCCCCCAAGAAGGAGGGCCGAGGCGGCCCAGCCACGCCGCGCCGGACTCTCCCCCGCCGAGGGGACGAGGGAGGATCC